ATCTCTGTTAGCTCTAACCTCGAACATTTTTTAAATACGATTGATAAAGTTGGGAAGCTATTTATTGAGACAACGGATATATCTAATGCGTATTGTTATGCAAAATATGTAATTTCGAGGAACTCACGAGAGATTCAGGTGCGCACGTGAGAATGGCGAGTAAACTTCGAGATCCTAGGTATTTCGGGTTCTAGCTTTATGATCGGCCTCATACCTTTGCTGCACGTACGCATGAGTATCGGATGTGACCCTCCGGTGTACGAAAGCTCGCTAATCCGCTCCTAAACATCCCTACACTGTTCTCAAATCCGTTATAATCTTGAACTTGCTGATTTAAGATTATAAAGTCACTGTATTTGTGTACAGCGGAAAATAATAAAAGGTTTACGGAATAATAAAGAAGATAGTTATTTTTGGAACAATTAAATACTTTGATGTTGTGGAAAAATAAAATTATAAGAATTCATCGTTTTTGAAATTTCACGTTAAATTATTGTTATAAAAAATCGTATAATTAACAAATATAAATTATAACTCTTTTATAAAAACATAGAATAACAAATGTAATTAAAATAGATACCTATTATTAAAGTAGATGATAAAAATAGATAAACAGGAAATAAATCCTACATAACCAAATATAAGATATATGTCATAAAAATAGAACGATGCATCAATACAATAAAATGAGTCAAATAATTTCAAGATCAATAATTAATAAAGTTAACACGTGTTCACATTTAACACTTTATTTACTTTTACTCATTATCGACGTTCTATATCGCTCGTATTATTCTCGCGCCAATGATGTATCAAAAGCGCATTCGGATGACCGACGGACCGATGCGATGCGCTGTCACTTATCTGTCAGCACACGAGAATATGTGTGAGCCGGAAAAGTCAGAGGAAACAGGGAGAAATGTCACGAAAGCGTAAGAACAAGCGAGCGAACGAACGAGCGACGGAGAGCGCGGATGGGGAATGGTAGTTAATTAGCCCGAGTTAAAAGCTCGGCTTAAATGACCTATTCAGCGCTTAGCATCGAGCGAATTCACTTTGGTGCTCCCTCGACTCCACCCACTCCAAGAAGATCCCGAGGACTATACTGCATCGCACGCGCCGTCTACGCTGTCCCGTGTCTCGCAGACTTAGGCCACTTTTACATCAAAACCCCGCCGTATCGTGCAGTCGCACGTTAAACAAATTGAAGTAAGAAAACAGCATCTTTTCTACGAGATTTTGTTGTTCAAAAAATATATGAAGAGTTTTCTTGTAGAAATACGAACATTTACATTTTCTCGAGATCTCTTTAAATAAGAAAAATATTACCTCTGTGAAGAAGTAATATTGTTATAAAGTTAGTAACCTAACTTTCTTCAAAATTTATTCTCAGAATTTCTTTTGCGTCTTTAATTCATTCGAGAAATTAGTTTTAATTCCTTTAGTGCGCTTTTGGAAATTGACAAGGGCGTGAACATGGCTTGAATCATTTCCTGCATCGCCAGCCGAACTTTTCTTCAATCTTCGTCGCACTTCGACGACCATTGCCTTTCCCCGTATCATCATGACTAAATAAAATCTATTAGGAAATGAAATAGGGCGCAGCGAAGAGTGTGAGTGAGTGTAATGAAAAATCTTTATAATGACGAAGCATAGGGGAGAGAATTGACGTGGCAGACGCAAATGCGATATCGATAGGGATGTATTAAAACGGTAAAATCACAAAAAGTAAAGTTTTGTTCCAAGAGAACACTTCAATTTAATTTATATCTGATTTTATAATTTAGTGAAGTGTAGCAAGTGCTTTGAGAAATTTCCGCCATTTCTAAAAAATATCGCTATCAAATAATGTGCACATTTGTATTGCAAATGCAACACTACACAAATCTATTCTTAAGTCGTCCGCGAATGTTTACACAATGACCCGGTAAGGAACTTTATACGTTACGTGAGTACAATTACGAAGCAGAAATCATATTCAGGAATCCGATAATAGATCAATATTTACACCGTACCTTTTCTGCTTTCTCATTCGCATCCGCGTATCGTCCCCCTTTCCGTTTAAAAGACGCAGATCTTTCGGTTTTCTCAACTTCATCTCGACCTACTGCTGAAAGTGCAGTGGGAGTTGTTAACCTTAGCTTGTGGTTTAATTACACGGGCAAATATTATCGAACTGACGGAGTTAATTAGATAATTAAAACTTGAAGGGTAAACTACTTTGCGAGCCGAGCGACGCCCCGGTCTTTGAATATACATGAACATATACAAACAGATACTATCGATGTATACGTTGAAAGATGCAAGACGAAGGATCGCTAACTGAAGGCCCTCCACGTTTGAAGATATAATAAAGAAAAATCGCAATAGATTTTATTTTCATAATATGTTCTTTACATATTTCGCCGAGAATGTATCCACAAAATACTTGAATTTCGAATTTAAAAATTCGGAATTTTAGAAAAAAAGTATAAAAATATTAAATTTAAAACAAAATTTTTGTTTTATAAAATAATGTTATAATATTATTATTAATTTCTAAAAAAATATTTCATAAAATTGTATATATTTCTACTTTTATAAAAATATACTTTTATTTATCATACCTTGTGAATACCTTGTTTTTCTGAGAAAGTTGGATGTTTATGTATTGATTTATGAAAATCCAAAAATGGCTAAAGTTCCTTAATAAAAATAAAATTAAAAATAAAAAGTATTCAATGTAATATAAAAAGTTCACTGATGTATTCCAAAAGTTACAGTGAGGGATACTAATATTCTTTAATTACTCAACGCAGTATTCCGTGATGAACTTATAGGATTAAATAAATTACATGTAATTTCTCTCGTGATTTACGACTATGTGGCGCCAACGGTACGTTGACGAAGAAATCCCTTTAAAAAGGAGGAATTCCAGCGGCCGGAGACCAGCGGCCGTATGTTTCCGGCATCATTATCTCCGGTCGGCAGAACTCTCGGGACCCTCGTCAGAGTCGGCGTTTATATCGCGAATCCTCTCTCGGATAAGTGAATCCCCACAGTCGGACGAGCGAAGTTTAAACGCTTTAGCTAGCGCGATCCGCGCGATTAGTGGAGGATACGACTGTGACTGTGATGGACAGGTCAGAGATGCGCGTGTATCACCTTCGAGGCTTTGCGACGTGCGAAATTTCACAGTTAACGCTTGACAGATCACCAGTTCTCTCTGAATCATAGAATATATGCGAAGAAGTAGTACAGCAGTTTTCATTTTTCCTGTATACGCTTGAAATCTCTTTTATCATATGTCCAGAAATAGTGTACTTACAGGGCGAGAAATATTAAAATACGTGAAGATAACTGTCCATTTTAATAACGACATCGAGTCTATCTCGAAACGAAAAACTTTAGGAATAATGAACTACCTGATAAGACTAAATTCAGATAAATTTTTTTTTTAACATCGGAGCACGTTAATACAAAAATGAAACGATATCGAGAAAACGTCATAAAGAACAAGAACATATAATTTATTATAGAATTGAACATGCAGTCAGATTGTGGAAAATTTAAATTTTTCGAACGACATCTTCAACACTATCTGCTCTCCAATATTTAAAATTTATTTTGCTACATTTTTGAGGTGAATGTTAAGAGACGCGATGTGGTTTATGCTCTGGTTTAACAGCGCAAATATGGCTATTTGCATATATTAGATAGATTTGCATATATTTAATATAATTCAGAATTAGATTATTCGCATTCCGCGCAAGATACAACGCTAATTCAAAGTGAGAGTATGGACCAATTTACGCGCGTATTACAGATGTGTATTTGCACAATCGCGCAGATACCGGCCAAGTAGCAATCACGGCCGCGTTATTATGCGCTCGTCGAGCATATGTTAATTCGCGTAGGAGATGATGAATGCAGCGAGGAGCTGGCAGATATACCGGGTACCTCGAAATTATCACGTACTGTCCTATTCTCTAATATTTAATATTATAACTTTAAATTTAATTTTTGTTATAATAAAATAAAATCCTTTTAAAACTAAAAATACCATTATTTCCATTTAATCTCCCGATTACGAAAATAATTGTCCGTGTAAATTCGTGATGAATTTTATCATTATCTGGTCTCTCAATTATTCAATAATTACCGTTAGTTGGATATTTTTATAGTAATTCAATATTTTGATCGATGAAAACGTCAATAAATGTCGTAAAACGATCAAAGGGTAAAAGATAGGCAACGGTCCCAGGACACCCTATAGACATATAAAACGACGCTGATAGGCAAACGCAGTGCCCGATTCATTAAAGTTTACACCGAGGAAAGCTCTCGAGCGCGCCCACAGCAAAGCGCCCGCCTGTACAAACAATTGCAACGAGCTCCCAACTAATCTGGTGTGTCGACGGAGGCTGGTCGACGGCGGGGAGAAGAGAAAAGGGAGAGTGGGAGATGAGAGCAAAGTAGAATATCAACATCCTCCGCTCGTCCAACTTGAGGAATTTGCTGCGAGCTTTCCGAGATGGTGTTTCGAATGAAACCATAGAAGCAACGTATCCACAGAATCGTCCCGACTGACCGAATTTAACGTGCGCGTGTCTGAATTTGCAAGAGTTATGCAAAAGGAAGAGGGATATTCTAAAGAAAATTCCTTCCATTATCCTCTTATAAAACGTAAAGTTTCATTTATATCCATTATCCAGCTTAATCGTGCAGAAACAGGTTCATTATTATTTTGAGAATAAGAAAATTCAAATTTAAAATGACTGATACCGTTTCCACTAATGTAGATTAACTCTTCACAATCTCGGTTTAATTCATTCTTTATCCTTTTATAGTTTGAAGAATTAGAAAATAAAATGAGGACCAAGTTTTGAACCAAGATTAAAGTTAATCTTTAAAATGTTACCCTAGTGTAATGAATTTTGATTTTGACCAATATCTCGTACAATTTCTAATTTTTTAATAAGATATTCCCGTCTAACAACGTCGTTTCTTCTCTGTTGCAGGCACAAGCGGAAAGTGCAAAACCTGCTGCCATGCAAGAGCGCAGCGGGCGCGGCGGCAGTCGCCGGACGGGGTCGTGTGCTACCAGACGGCCAGCCGCATCCGGGCCCCGGCATCGGCGGCGGCGGTGCCGGTGGCGCTGTTCTTTACGAGGACCTACAGGATCACACGGTGTCGCATTCGCAGCTGCACAATCACCTGCCGACGAGTCACGGTCAGGCGCCGACGATCGAGGTACGAAATTCCGAAGCCCACCCGCGGGTCACCCCGCTGCCACGCGAACCACCGCTGCTACCTGCACGCAGGGAAACGAGACCGCCGCAGCCGCATCATCTCGACTATCTCGACTATCGCGACCCCAGGTCGATACTGCGTGTCCAGGACAAGCCGTCGCGGGCGGTCCTGGGCGGCTATCGGACGCCGCGCGCCCTTTTAGCCAAGTCGCAGGGGGTACCCCTGTCGATCACCACCACCGCCCAGTCGTCCGCCACTCGACTTGCTCCGGGCGGCACTGGCGCGAATAGTCCATTATTGCTGCGAAACGAAAGCAACCTCCTACGAGACAGCCACCTGCTGTTAGCTACGCAGAACGCCTTGATCACGAGCCAGCGGCCTCCCTCACCTTCTACCCCACCCTCGCCTATGCTTTCCCGCGGAGAATTCCCGTCGTGTCGGGATCTCGATGTCAGCTTGACCGTCGACGGCTATTCAGCCGACGTACGAGTTCCCGCGAGACCTCGTGATTCCGGTATCCCCATCACTCCCACTCATCGACCGCGCGCCTCCCCCGCACGAACGCCGTTGAGCCCAAACGGGTCGGCGAGCCTCGTCGCGGTGCCGAGGCTCACGGTCCGAGAGGAAGACCGCAGGCGACTTTCGGTAGACTCCGAGGGTTATTCTTATATAGACTTCAAAGACTCGGATCTAGAATCCACGAGATACAATCGTACAGAGACCGCGAATCCTCCCATCAACAGCAGGCGGCTGTTGCGATCGATGACTATGAGATCGAGCTCAATCGATTCTGATGGCTACTCGTACATCATCGATTACAGCAGAAGGGCGCCCGGCGCCGCCAAGAGGCTCATCGCCGACGGCACCGAGGAGGAGGTCTGTCCGCTCTGCACCATGCAGCAGATACACCACCTCCTCAGTCAGCCGGAGCAGGACGTCTATCTGCACATCCAGGACACGTGACACGTGCCGTCCTGGCCGTCGATCGACAGTCTCGTGGCGGCGTAGAGGCATAGTCGGTTCTAGAAATCCTCAAGTAAGAAATTGGACACTATATACGTTTTTGATCCACCATATTTTTCAGGATCTGCTTAAGGTAGAACGAGAGGTATCCACTCATTCTACCTTAAGCAAGTCTTGAAAAATATGGCGAATCAATCAGAAGTTGTCTAAATGGTGGGTCCAATCCCTTTACTCGAGGATCTCTAGTCGGTTCTATCCCAAGGAGAATCCCAAACGCGTAACCTGAGGCGGAAGCTCCAACATATCTTCGTGAGTATCGCGCGTCGACCAAGGTCGACCGAGCGACATTCGATTACCGAGCGTCGTGTACTATCTTCCTGTTCCGCGGCCGTGATGTGACACGACGTGAAGTGAGGTGACGTGACGGGACATGACGTGACGCGACATGAGGCGACGCGACGTGATAGCGTAGCGTGAAAGGGACGCAGCTGCGTCTCTGTAAGGTTATCGTCGTAGATTATCTGGCGCCCTGCGGATTCCGACGAACGGATGGAGACCACCAGGTATTCCATTGACATTGACACTAAGGCTGTGTGTGCTTCGTGATTCGAACTTTGTTTCCTCTGCAAGAGTGTGTGTGCTGCCGATTTCTAATTTAATATTTAGTTTGTAATCTTTCTCGTAAGCTTTAATATACTGTAGTCTCAGGCAATCACGAGACAAAGGAGCTTTAATAAATTGCGATAAGCATAACTGTCAGTATTCACACACATATTCAATTTTTATACAGATTTCTAGTAAACGCTGGAAATGAAAATGTTAACAATTCACGTTTTTTGAATACTGACTAATTTGACTTAACGCTATTTATTAACGATAGTTTTGGGCTCTTAGCTGGGACAGTTCTGAGAAATTCAGATCACACGATGCTTCCTCACTGACTTCGAAAAGATTGTAGTTAGTTTTTTCACATTTCTAGAGAAATGATAGTTAGAAAAAAAGACTATTCTATACGCACTATGCTTAAAAAATTGACTCACTATTACATAATTATACGATGATTATAGTTGCTAAAGGAAAGCGTCTTGTAATCCGAATGACAAAAGCAGATACTAAAATACTTGAAGACAATCGCGACATAAATGTTCGAATGCTTATTCCTGTAAGAGAGAAGTACAATATATTACTTTATACACACAATAACAGAAATAAGCATTCATTGTCGTCACTTATCGATGCACCCACGTCTCTCGCAGAGGAAACCGTTCGTTAAATATTCTCGCGTATAGAAAAGAAACTTCTATTGATTTATTATTGATTACTTTTTGTCAATTTTAAATGTTCGAGTCACGCGAGCTTTCACTCATCAATGGGTGTCTGTTCGTTCATTCGTTCGTTACCGCCGCTCCACACGGAGACGCCAGGACGGGCTAGTCAGTATTTATTTTGTTACTTCGGAGCCGTGCCCGCGCAACTCCCAACAAACTAACAAATCGAAGGAATGCTTGACGTGTAAAAGAAAAGGAAAACGTAAAAGCGTGACGCGAAGGAAAACAGGGCGGACGCGCGGGGCCTTATTCGACGGTTGTGCAGGCACGGCGGCCGGGCGCACTCTATGGTTGTAAATAGATTAGAGATTAGACCCGTAAATTTTGTAAATAACATAACTTACGGAGAAACGATATATCGACAGGATTTAATATATATATATACATGCATATATATAGATATTATAAAGAATATAGATATTATAAAGAAGAGAAAGAGGATACGCGAGAGTCCGTTAGAGCATCGCGAAGAAAGAGAGAGAGCTTGATTTCCCGATTTGTAAATTAGCACTATCATTATAACTGCGGATAAGGGACACCATTATTGCTGTGTCGCTATATCTTTAGTACTATTACGATTATTATTAGTCTATTATTATTATTATTATTATTATGATTATTATTATTATCATCGTTATTTATTACACACCTCGCCGGACGGTTGGCAACGGTGTTCTGTAAATAACGTCGCGAGCTCGACGAGGCGAAGAGCGAAACGACGGTCCTGTGTATATCTTGAGTTAATGAAAGAAAGAGAGAGAGTTTGGAGGAGAGACTTGAGAAAAATAAAATTACTTTGCTGAAAAATTTGACGAGGAGTGGTTATTAACCCGGTCCACAATCCTGTCCCATCCCTTGCATCCCTTCACGATACGGCCACGATCGACAAAAGATCGCGGATTATTCTAAGCGAGCATCTCCCGAGATCGGAAAGAGACTCGGAAGCGCATACGCGCGACCAAGAGAGAAAAAATAGACGCCATGTTTTCTCTCGCGTACCAAAATCGTCTCCCGATACACAATGATAATACGTGGACACGGAATAACCACTTCTGTGTTCAAACTTTTTCTTCTACTGTCTGACTAAAGATATGCAACAGCCTATATCGCTCACTCGGTTACGGTAATATATTCTGGTACATCCCGTATTTTAATTAAATAACCTCGTTAGACGAAAGATCATCTTTATCGATTTAAGATTTCCCGTGTAAGCGGAAAAAAAAGAACGCAAATTTAATGGACCAAAGTTCCGATCAACATTAACGCGAGTTTCATTGATGAATTCTCACACAAATGAGAAAAGATGGGAAAAGAAAGTAGGACAGGTCCGCGTAGGAAGAAACGGACGGGAGGTCAAAAAGGGAGAATGAAGGGTGGCTTCTAGAGGGAAGGTGGAAGCGGAGGGTGAGAGATTGACGCGTCACCATTGTGCCGCGTCACCTTTGCTCCCCAAGAGCGATTGCCATCTCTCGTGGACGAATAGATCTCTAATTTCGCAAATGGAGCTGAGCAAGTATCCAACGACGCAACGCGGTGCAGCGCGGCGCGGCGCGGCGCGAGATTCTTTTTCTTCTCTTGCTTTCTCTTCTCGGCACGGGCCACGTGTAATTTAATTGCTGAAGGGTTGGCAAAAACTGGCACATATATCTCACGTCCCTTTTTTCGTCTCCGCACGGAGCGCAATAGAACAAGTATTATTAGTTAGTAGAGGAAAAAGTGAGCAATGTGGACCCTACTTAAAATTCTATTATAATTAACATAAATTTTAACTCTTCCATTAATAATGAAAGTCTTCGAAGTAAATTTTTCATTGTTCTAGATTATATAAAAATATGAAAAAATTCAAGTACACTAAAATTTAACACTGAGTTTTTACCATCATATATATAGAAGTATACTTTATATTTTACTTATCTCTCTCTCTTTTACAGATTTATATATATAATATATATAAATTTACAATCAAAATATTGATGGTGCCTTTAAAGACCCTTGTTGGAGGTTAATATCCTCTCTCTCTTATGAAAAGTTTTTAACTTGTTCTTAGAGAGAGATGATTAGATATAGTTGTTACCACGACTGGCGTGACCTTTCTATTGACAATTGATGTTTACATTATGGTATATCAAAGTTCTTTCGCATTATTTTCAATGTCAAATTTAACGTGGTTTAAAGTAAGTAACGAGTTTACATATATGTGTTTTCTAAATTAATTCTTGAAGTGCTGTTCTTTTATTTTGAGAAAATAAGTAAGTTTAAGTAATTATATATTTTCCATAATTAAATCTAACAAAAATCTTTGTAGTTATCATTTTAAAATGATTTTAAATCCCTAGAGGTATTTGCAAAAGGAAGAAGTGCTTGTGGTGAACATCCACGAAGATAAAGTCGCAAGAGTATTATTAAAAGAACGTATTCATGAAAAGAAACTTCTGAATATGACAATATCTCATTATGTTCAGAATTTTTTATGAATTCAAGCTATTTGGACCTCATGGGAAGTCTTAATAGACTTGAAGAATCATATTCTGTAAAAATATGAGGAAAGCCCATTTTACCATTACATTCAGATGATTATCATAATGTCTCTTTTCATTTAAACAATTTTTCCCATTTTGTAAATTGTCCTTATTATTTTAAGCCTTTATTATTCAAGTTTTTTTAGATTTTAAACTTAGATTAATAAATTTGTGATATATTATTGACTTA